CTTGAATACAAAGATCTCACCCTTATTTAGAAATAACCGGTAATACAATTCCGGCCACCTAATACTTAACCTTAGCCAATTTTCTATTTGGAACTTTTGGAACAGTACTTAGAGCCAATTATGCAATAATTACTTAATAGATTGTTTAATTTAGGAAGTATATAATTTTTTGTACAACCCTGTCTAGGGAACCAGTATGTTCATTGAACTAACCAATCGGGACTTTCAATCACTCATTAACCTGTGAACTCAAAAATTGACCAAAAATATACAGTGTACAATCATTTTTGTTTTATCTATCGGTGACATTTTGCTGTCGTTATTGGATAACGATATAATGTATAATAAACCTTAGTTTTCAAAAATTCATTTCAATGAATAAAATGCCACCTTCTAACGAAACACCTATTCATGCAGGTACACTGCCTTCTGAGCCAGTCGTCGATGAGGGACATGCAACACGACCCACGACCGATCCCAACACTAACGATACTGATAAAAGCACAAAACCAGTAGATCCACCTCAATCACCTCCAATACCGTCATTCGCTTTTCCCCAAAACCTTCGTAATATCTATATTAGCCCCGTAACAAACCTTTCAACAATTCTAACTTCAAACGATTCAACCAGAACTACCGAAGATCTGACACCAAAATGGGATGAAATTTGTTTTCAATGGTGCAAGCAACAGGATAAAAGTCGAGAACATGGAATAAACCCAAATTGTAGGATGGTTTGTTTCAGGAAAATCAATAACAATATGAAAGAGGAATTTTTTAAAAAAAAACTTGTTGTGCACAAAGAACAAGATAGAATTAATAAAACTGAAAATGTTGCTCAAGTTTTGTACGGAAAAGAAGGTGATGATGAACAAGAGGGCGTAAAGTATTCCCAAGCTGGACCTAGAAATTTTTTGGATGGATATTTCATTTATTATATTAAAGGATTGGAAGGATGTCAGAAACATACGGAAAGTAAGTATAATAAATTTTTTCGATAATTGGATTTTTTAATGATATAAAATATTAATTATTTTTTATCTTTATAAAGATATGAAAAATGATGAACTTCTAAATCGAACATCATGGCCACAAGTCAACCCGTAAGTGTCAATGAAGCATTATTGAAATAAATAAAATTACAGAAATTGACATTCAATAAACCATTAGAGAAGAATATGAAATTGATTTAGGGGAAAAATTTGAAAGGACTAAAACCGAAAGTAAGTCGAATTTTCTTTATATTAGAAAAAAAAAAAAGGATGCTGATATTCTAATATTATTATTATATAAAAAAAAAAAACATTAGCAAACCGTATCATAAAACGAGCATTCACACCAGGTTATCAATTGGGTAAGAGATATATCGAATCTTGGAGTGATGGTACACAAGCCGCATTTTTCAAAAGATTTTATGAAAGTGTACAACGTATGGATGCTGTGCATATGGTGCAAGATAATGTTAAGAAAGTTGTTGAGGTTTGGGTTAAAGGAAGTGGTGGTGGTAATGGAAAGGGTGGATTTACAGGCAATTCTAGTCCTAATGATAGCGATCACAAAAATAATGATAAATCAGAGAATGATGATGAGTCTAACAATGAGAATGATAAATGAATGCTAAAACGGTGAATTATATCATATTTGCTATTTAATATAATATGTGGCGTGTATTTGGTATATTTGAATAATTGAATATTGTAAATATTGGTATTATAAATTAAAAATTTAAAAGTTCATTTCTTTAATCTATACTATAATTTTAGTGTTTGTCTGTTTAAAACAATCTGATTGTTGATTTCAAGTATCGTGTGCAGTCAAGGGAAAACTGTGTTTCATGTTAATATTATTTATATTATGAATATATAATGTACTTTTATGACTGATGAACTACCATAAATGAAAACTGCTAAGTGAAAATGAGACTTCAATTTTTATTATTTACCAGATTTGTCTCTTTTAAAGACCTGATATATGGTGATACGTAATCACATATCATATATTTACCGTTACGATTTTCAATTTTTTTTTTTTTTTTTTTTACCTAAGTGTATTAACTTACTTTTTTCTTTATTCATTTTATTTTATTACTTTCCAACTATATTAACTCATAATTATACATATTGCAATCCTCGTTTGGAACTTCTAAATTAAGTTTCAAAAATTTTAAGGCTCAAACGTTATAATCAATTGATATAAAGATGACGATCGATCTTTTTTTACCTTTCAATCAATTATCAAAAAAAAAAAAAGAAAGCGATTACCAAATTACCTAAAAGCTTTAGTCTCAAAGCTTAGCATCTTAAATTTGATTCATAAAACTTTTCTTTCGGCTTATCTTAACAATTTTAACATAATTTATCGCAACAACTATATCTGGCTACAATAATAGGTATATTCGACAACCCAACTAAACTGTTTGTAAAATAATTATAATAAAATAGATACGTGACATATAAGAAAAATATTAATTTTAAACCTAAAAGATAGAAAGTGTTTTGCTCTTTTGCTATGAGTTTCTAATATGAAAACCAAGATAATAAATTTTTGGTATCGACAACGGCTTCGCGCAGCTATGAAAATGACCAATCAAATCGTTCGGTAAACTCATCGGCTTTAGTCAAAGATTGTAACGTATAACGATAACGAAAAAGACGAAATCCTCATAAAATTTTACTAATAAAAAACGTAAACTTGTTGAAACTATGTTGTTTCAATATCAATATTGCGCATTACGAATCTCGAGATTCCGTAATAAATAATTTGACAAATCTGTCGAGATCTTCGTTAAGTGGCCCAAACTTTTTATCCGACCATGCATCGATTCTCAAAATCTGATTTGCAGAAATTTCCCGTTCCCGTTCAGGGTTAACCCGGTTCCTTATATAAGGAACAACCAATAGAGCATAGTGAACTTAAACTCGCTTGGGATTAGTATGGGACATATAGCATATTTGAGTCGAAAAGAAACTTTCTCTGCTGCACATCGCTTACATTCACCATATTTAACGGAAGAAAAAAACAAAGAGTTATACGGAAAATGCAATAATCCCAATGGACATGGGCACAATTATACAGGTATGGTTCAAAAAGTTCCAAATTTACCCGTTTTACGGGAAAGTACCAACAAATGAATTTTTATTTAACAAATGTTTCGGAATTCTCTTTTATTTATGATGCGTATAGTTGAAATCATAATACGAGGCGAGGCATGAGATTTATCTAATGTGAAAATCTGTAGTTAATTTCTTTTATGCAAACTTATCTTGTACCTGTGATTTTAAAGGTCGATCCTCATACAGGCATGGTAATGAATATAACCGATCTGAAAAAATGTATGAGAGTCGTATTGGATGAATTGGATCATAAAAATTTGGTTTGTATTTTTACTAGTTCTCCTTATCAGCTAAAGTATGGTCCTTGGTTTCTTACATTTTTTACACGTTCATAGGATCTTGATGTTCCTTATTTTACAAGCTGTCCGAGGTATGATGTATTTTGAAGATTTTATATTGTTTGTATATATGTTCTATGATGTTACTATAATACTGCGTTATCTATCCGAAATTAAGAAATGTAGATGTGAAATCAGAACTGAATTAAGCTCTTTTTCTTTAGCGTATTGATCATATTTAATTACTTATATTTGTTTATATATATGTATACTTTTTTTTTAACATTATAAATAGTACGACTGAAATGTTGGCAGTTTTCATATGGGATAATATGCGAAAGCACTTGCCAAAGGGTAAGTATGAATTATATGAAGTAAAAATCCATGAGACCGAGAATAATGTTGTCATATTTCGAGGTGAACTTTCTTCAACTGAAGATGTGCCATAATTATCATAATAACAAAAACGTGAGAAATTAATTTCGAAAACTAAAAACTTGAAAAAAAAAAGAATCCTAATAATCTATATTCTCAATTAATAATCGACAATAATAATCAAATATAGTAAAATTTTATATAGACGAAATTTTTTAATTAAAATTTTATATAGACGAAATTTTTTTAATTAAAAATTCATAATAAAATTTTATGTAGGAAACCTTTTTAGTTTATTAAAATTTCAATAATAAAATTAATTTATTAAAAATTCAATAATAATTTACAAAATTTAATAAATTTAATCCAATTATTTGTGATATTGTTAAATCGGCGTCGGTATTGGTGATGAGATTTATGGAGCAATATGAACTAAAAGATCATGTAAGTTAGATTACCTCACCGCGGATTCCCATTAAATGATCAATAATGTTACCATATATCGGTTTTTTTTTACGGCTACAGAACCATCCAGTGTCTTAATGAAAGAACAAAAAAATTAGAAAGAGATAATGAGAATACCTTAAGTCGAACAGTATAAGGAACCACCTGTGTCAAATTTTGTTCAATCTCTCTTGTCAGATACAGTCAATGCAAACATTTGCCAGCATTTTGTGCGATCGAATCTGCTTGACAAAAAAAAACCTATATGCGTTTCCCATACTTAAACTTCCTAATGCATTTTCCACTTAAAAAAAATAAGGTCGTTGAGGATTTCATGTCACTTTATCAAAGTTTAGTAAGAATTGTATCTTGTATCTTTAAAGTCCCAAGCCTACTACTAAAAGAATAGATCTAGAGAAGTTAAGAAATTCCGCAAACCAGTTGAAAGATAATATATATATATATATATACATAATTTTTTATTAATTGAGCTTAATACATATAGCCATAAGCAGGGTTGGCATTGAAGCCAATGGAGCTCAGTGGTTATGCGAATGGAGCACAAAAAAATTGGCTCCATTCAGAGCTCCATTGCCAAATCTGGTTCTGGTCATAGCTGATACCTCGTAATACATTTTCTTCTGTCAAGTTAATGTTATTATTAAGCATTCTATTCTCCAAGTGGATTGGCTCATAATTGAGTTGCTCTTTTTTTCTCTTTAAATCATCGATTCCGTAAATGAGTTCTTTTTTTCTCTTCAAACGACTGATTTCACGATCAAGTTCTTCTTTTTCCTTTTGAATTCCTCCATTGTATTTTCCCTCGTTAATTGGTTTTTAATATACGAGACAACTGAAAACATAAATACATTAGCATCTATTTACTAACCAATACCTCGTGGTCCAGATGCATAAATGCGTTACCCAGTCTAATATAGACATCATTTGGCTGATTGTAGTACCCTAGCCAGTGTTCACAGAATAATTTTGCGCAAAATTCAATTAGAAAAGCGCTACTAGCATTTGTTGTGTCCTTTAATAATTGTTTTATTCGGCACTTATGTTTTTGCGTTGGCAACCGTTGTTCGGGTTATTATCATTATTTCTAAAATTATTGATAACCGAACTGATAAGTTTTGATGTCGGTCGACGCTCAATTATCGTTATGAGTTGTCCAAGGAAAATGAAAATAGCTATAAAATTTAATGCACATGGTTAACACACCGACCCGGTCCACAGGTGTGACTACAGGAGCGACTGTATTTTAAATCCAATACGGATTTAAAATACAATCAACTATCACTAAGTGCGTCCCAATTATATAGAATCACGAACCTAGCATAACCATCACGTTCAGTTATGTACGAAGTTGGAATTAATTACCGAAATTTTAATGATGCATGTATCAGTCATAGTTAGTAATGACAATGTTTGTTTATATATTGCCACCCAAAATTAAATAATTGTTTCTCATAACATACAATTCTAA